AAAAAAAAAAAAAAAAAAAAAAACGAGCAAGTTTCTTTTAGTCCTTCTGCTTCCTACACGAGCTATTGCCCACCATTAAAAAAAAAAAAACAACAACAACAACAAATACAAAACCTAAACGTGAGAAATACATTTTATGTTGAAGAAAATTGCCCATCACATGTACATTACTACAAGCTACCACGCTATCATTTCAAGTTGACGCTTACAGTAAGCTTACGATGAATGTCCGGTTCAGTTATTGTAACGTAAGCTGCCAGCCAGAAACCATTCCCAGTTAAATGTGTCTAGTCAGTCTAGCAGACTGGGAGCCGTGAGCTACCAACCGATTATTAGACCCAGTACAACTGACGCATGTATACATTCAAGCTGGTATTATCATAGTTCATTGCATGCAAATAGCTCATAACAAGTGCTTCGTTCTTTTCATGCACGCTACTAGCGTTTATGTTCGAATAAATAGTCGAAGCAAAAATGTGATACGCTTTTGCAGTTCCTTTGGAACTACGTTTTGAGAAGAACAAGAGCCGAAAAAAGACTACTACAAAACTGCTTAGAAGACATGACTCACACCGCTTTGTGCAAGACGTTGTTTCGCGTATACTATTTCATAACATATAATCGCAAAGAACATTGACCGACAATCTTGTCAAGTGTGCTTAAGCGCGAAAAGTTATCTTTCGTTCGTCGTTTGTCTGTTTATTTGAATGATATCTTTCGTCTGCTAGTCATGTTTTGATTTTTTTTTTTTAATTGTAACTAAAATTACTAGATCACGTTTATTCTGCTACAGTGTCAACCACTTCAATAAAGCGTCCGGCCCAGCCTCGTCCCAGTCCTCTTTAAAGACGCATAGCTCTTCAAACAGAGGAAGCCTGGCTACTACTGAGGCTCCGATGTAGGCGGCGTGATGGCGCTCAAGTCCTGCGTGAACCTGGTGTCCATTTTAACGGAAAAGAAAACAAAAGACAGAAATTAGAAACATTGGGATCATCTGTACTCTCTTTCAAACAAATTGTCGATTCAAAATAGCACTTAAATTCTGAGAAAGACACAAATTTATATTTCTGCAGACAAGAGGCAAAACCTGTCTGTTTTGGCCCTCGTGCGTACTCAAATGTAATTTTAAACTAATAGTTTCGGGGACTGAAAATAGGAAGTTACTAATTTGTCAGCCTTTCACCGTAGAAATAATGCCCAAAGGTTCACAAAAACGTCTCGGACTTCCACCTAACGGGTAAAAGCAATTGTCAATGGAATCGTTAAACCGGAAGTGACGTGCCTACCTGCACATGAGAAGTCATGGGCATTAATTCACTCACTTCTTCTTGAAGTCGTTCAGCAAGGCCTGGAAAAGAAAACGCGTCTTGTTCATGAGGTATATAGGCCAAAAATTCTAAACATTTAGGTAATATTTCTGGTTATTTTGCTACATTTTTTGGTGCTAAAATGACTGAGTACATTCGTTCGAGCATCAAATGTTCCTAGAACACGAGGATGAAAATATTACATGAAGTGAGGAAGAGAGATTAAATTGGAATTCATTTTAAACGATTTTTCAAAGATACTACAACATTTGAAAACGTCCGAGGGACATTTTTTTCAAAATTTGACTTTACAACTTATTGCATGTCTAACCCATTACGTAACTCTTTTACAGCTTCACGGTAGTTATGCATTACTCTTCAGCAAAGCTGGACTAGTATCATGGTTGCCACAGATATCCCTTTACAAAATTCCTTGACTTTTCCTCAATAAAAATAAAATTTCCTTGACCATAGAAATACAAAATGTCAACTCTAGTAGCGGCTTCTTCTTCCACTCGTTAATTACGTGTAATAATTTTCAACAATTTTTCCTTCGCCATTAAGGAAAATATCGTTGAGATTACTGTGACCCCACATAAGTCATTAAATTATTTTAACATTCCCCGACCTTTCTTCGAAAGATTAATTTTCCTTGACTCAAAATAAAATTTCCTGACCTGTGGCAAACCTGAGTATAATGTGTTTTTTTTTTTCTTTACGACTCTTAGAAGGGCCTCAAATCTCCTGAACTAACCTTTCGACATGGACCCTCCCCCACTCAGGTAGATATTTCGACACATTTGTTTGCGTATGTCTATACTGCAAGCCATGATGGCTTTGATAGTCAGTTCGTGAATGCCCGGATTGTCCTTGCCCCAGACGGACGGTTTAAACAGTCCTTCAGTACAGCGGTGTCTCGCTGTATCCACAGTAACACTTCTAGGGAAAGAAACAAAATATCGAAATGTAACAAAAATATGTTTACTTAAACAGGAGGAACATCTCAAGTCTTGCATTAAAGTTATAGGAACAGGCGAAGAACTTTGGGGGAACGAGAAACGCTGAGAAAACATGGGCCGCAAGGCAGGCGAGAATTTTTTTTGCATATCTCTCAGTTATCTTAGACTTTGAGAAATGTTTCTGTAGCTCGATAGAAACACTGAGAAAGTGGCTTTCCATTAACAAAAACAACAACAACAACAACAACAAAACAACAACAACAACAACAAAAACAAACAAACAAACAAACAAAAAAAAAACCGTCGACGTATTTCCGACGTATTTCCGACCGTCACACAGACAGCCCGAAAACTGTCTGTGTTGGCAGGCTACGCTAGCTCATGGTTTTCCTCACTTTCAGAGGGCACTTTCATACAGAGTGTTGTTGTTGTTTGCCTTTTTGTTTAATTTGTTTTTATTGCTGGCTTTTTCCCCTTAGAAACAGACAAATACAAACTGGGATACAAGACTATTTAGCCATTGTTGACAAAGTACACGAAAAAGTTAAAAAAGTTCAAAAGAGATACGTTATTGAACGCAAAGATGACTTGTGAGACAGTTGGACGTTTCGAGCATAATTCATTCCTATTAGCAAAGTGGCGATAAAGACACAAAACGCTGGGAAATAACAAAATAATATCTCTCACAAACACGGATAACGTCTGAAACACACCTGGTTCCATCTGGAATGGAGTACTTTTCTAAATCCACGACTAATGTACCGTCTGGTTCATCATCTTCTTGAGAACCTCGCCTTGCCACAAAAGATACCTGTCAAGTAAAAATATAGGAAATGCCCCTACTCTAACTACGTTAGTATAAATCTACTAGTGTTCTTGCCTCTATCACGTATGCCGCTCTCTGATTGGCTACGCTACTAACTATCGCTTTTGTGAATAGATTGCGTTATAAATAATTCTTAATATTTTAGTATTGTAGTTTTCACTATTTTAATATTGTAAATATTCATCTTTAGTATTTTAGTACTGTCTGGAGCCCATTACTGTAGGCCCATTGTTGTTTAGTGTTTCCAATTAGTCCGCTAGGGATAAATACTTTGACTTCTGGATCTTATCTTAATATTTTATCTTGAACAACGATAACAACAGTTTGCTGCTGGTGTCGCTTGAGCTATAACAACTACCTCACAATTTTCAGAATCCGATTGAGTATGAGCAGACGGGTGCTTAAAAATCATTATTCTCTCAATAAACCTTGGTTATCACAAAGGCTTCCAAAGCTCAATATGTGACTGCTGTGACTAATGTTACCCAACGAACGCTTTAGAGACTTAATATGGGAAATAGGCTAATTTATCCACCTCAACATAGTGTTGTCTCCATGTATTTGAGGTTCACACAATTTGCGCCCAGTTGCGTCAAAGACACCAAAACCAAGTCTATGTGGTTATCGTACCGTTTTAATAGCTTTATTTTAGCATATTTAAGCCTGAAGTGAATTTCCCATTTGAAGTCTCTAAAGCGTTAGTTGCATAACATTAGTCACAACAGTCACGTAGATATTGACCTTGGGTTGCTCGTGGTTATCGTAGCTTTTTAAATAGCTTTATTTCAGTATATTTGGGCCTAAAGTGAATTTCCCATACAAAGTCTCTAAAGCGTATAATTGCATAACATTAGTCGCAACAGTCACATATTGACCTTAGGTCGCCTGTGGTTATCGTACCTTTTCTTTGATGGCCTGTGAGATGTAAGATTCCACTTCTGAGAAAAACCTTGCGTTGGAAGAAAAAGGAAAATCATTCGAAACAACATCAGGAACAAGAAGCTATTTACAGTAGCAGTGGATTTGTATAAAAACCTTCAACAAAAGCATAGACGTTGCGCGAAATAAAGTGATGGTGCAAGAATGCCATGTGTACCTAACTGATGGCCGAAAAATTTTATCTTTGAAATGTTCTGGTAAGGAGTGTGTAGTTGCAGTCTTAAGTTTAAAGCAAATCTGCGTTAGAACCCCTTAGGGGGTGAAAGAAGGAGAGGGGAAGGGGGGGGGGGGGGGGGGGGAACTAGACATTTTATTCATCACTCGTTCATTTTTTTGCTAAAACTATAATAACTTTATGGAAGAAAATGGCTGATTAAAAAAA